AGACTTGAAACAGTTTCGTTCCTCAGTGAAGCAAAGACGCACATCGCATTTCTCACAGAGAGTGGTAGTTACGTTGACTTTGCAGTGTTTGCAGCGGCCGCATTTGTCACATTTCACAGGCCAATGTGCAACTTGGTCAGAGCGAACATCATCTGGAACTCCAAGACGAACCCTTTTGGCCAGTGGTGGTGGTGGTAAAGATGTGGGATTGAGTGATGGTCGGCCTCTTCGTGCCTGCAAAAGAATGAGGCTAGTGGCAACCTCTGCCTGGAAGGGCTTTTGTCGCAGTACATTTTTGACACCAAGTAGTTTACAGTCACGGCGGTAGATCAACCATGCATTAACCAGACCTAACATGATGGTGTGCCAGAACAAGTCGAGGTACCACAATGCATGCATCAAGGAGATCCACTCCTCCCATGAATGTGTTATATTCCTTGTGGTCTCCTGACCTCCAAGATGTCTTGTCTGCTTTGCTCCAGCGTCGAGCATTATCTTGAGGCTCAACTGCACAATAGGATGAGATCAGGGTAACAGATTTGTTGTCATACCACTTGACAATGACCAGCCTTTCTTTTTTTTCCACCCTGGCATCAACAGATCCTGTGCCTCTCTTGGCAAGACTTTTATCATCTTCAAGCTGACACCCAGCTAATCGGTTGCCACGCAGAGTTCCCACAAAGTAGATTATTGTTGAAGAAGGTTGAGTACCAGTGGTGCTGAATAAAAAAGATTGTCGGCAAAGTCTTTGTAGTTGTGGTCTTACTGGAGAGTTTCACAAAGCTTGACCACAAAACATCACCACTGAATGTGCACTCAGGGATTTCAAAAGGTTTCTTCTTCTAAGCAAATGTTTTTTTTTCCCTTGGACAGTTCCTTCTGTTCCTTTTTTTGTGACCATGGACATTTTCTTGTTTTTTTTCCTTGGATGGATGTATTTTTATTTTGCTCTCTTGAACTCACATTTGGTTGTGGTTCATCATCAGAAGTATTTGATTCACTACTGTCTGAATCACCACACTCACTTGACTCATCACTTTCCCTGTCTTGGCTAATGGGATTGTAAAGAGGGTCATCTGGTTCTTCATCTGAGTTATCGTCACATCCCTCAAAGTCACTGTCATCTCCCAGGATGATCTTGATTGCATTTCGAAGAGAGTATTGCTTGTTCTTTTGCATTCTAAAATTTTATTAAAAAATAAGAAAGTACAGAATACAGAATACACAATACACATTACGTTAAAGTTCCAAAAAGTGTTTTACTTTCACATTATTTTGTGTTTCTACTTGTTCAGTACACTTTTAATTGACAAGCAGAACATACTTCAACTGAATATAGCAGATACAGCTAAATAAATTGGGTGGATTATTACAATTTTTGTTATTGTGACAAACATGTCACATCGAGCTTTTCATTCACATTCTAAGGCTGTAAGCCCAATGCGACATGTATGTCACAGCGATATTTCGATCCCTGGTTTGATATTAGTTTCTTCAATAACTATGGTGAGACCAGGTTGACGGCACTATAGGACATGTTATCAAAGTATTGGATCCGTCAAATGAGTTTGAAATGAACTGTACTGTAGTATCGCATAACGGTTCTTTGAAGTTGGCTGTTTCTTTGAAGTTAGCACATCAGCAATACCAGCAAATTGGAGAAGTCATTTCCTGTCAGAGTCACATCAGAATCAGAATCATCTTTATTGGCCAAGTATGTAGAACACACAAGGAATTTGTCTCCGGTATAACACACTGCATTAGTATCATCATAAACAAGGACATGACAAATAGGTATGGAAGGACATTTCGTAATGTAAGTGAACCGTAGTGCGGTGGTACTACCCAGTGACAACTGTGAGACAATGTGCAAAATATCAAGCAGAGCTAAAGTGATCAGTGGTAGAATACAATACTATGACAGTTGTACAGGTGGTGCAGAAAATCACTGAACCATTTTAGAGTGACCAGTAGCAGTATTTTTTTGTACAAGAAGAGTGACTATGTCAGTGACTGTTTAGGGAGTTAATGGCTAGAGGGAAGAAGCTGTTTAAGTGTCTGCTGGATTTGGTGCGCATGGATCTGTAGCGCCTGCCTGAAGGGAGTAGCTGGAAAAGGTGGTGGGCAGGGTGCGGGGGATCCAGGAGGATTT